CAAATACTTTCTGACAGACAAAAAGACTCACAGATCCATCATACACCAACACACCTCTTTAGATCTTTATTGCTCTACATGCAAAACCACAATGGCTCGAATCTTCAGGTGCATCCTGCTTCTGCTAAGCTATTCTAAAACTTTTTGCAAGTATGTTCACATTGATGGGAAAATGCTTTGGCTTGAAGCTCAGAGTTACTGTCGGAAGAACGACACCTGGCCCCTGCCAAACATGAACATGACATCAGCAAACTTCAGGAGCTCAGCAATGTCAGTGTCAAAATCTGGATAGGACTGGATAGCACTGACAAATGATTTTGGTCAGGAGGAGGGGAGGTGTCCAAGTTTTTCTGGGCATTAGATAAACCAGAAAATAGAACAAATGAAAATTACAGCTGTACTCATAAAGAGAAATGGCATGACGTTAAAAGAACACCCATTTCTACCTTCTTCTGCAATGGTGGTAAGTGTAGAAGTGTTAAGTGAGAGCAGGACTTGGGAGGAAGCTCTAGAGTACTGCAGGGCGCACCACGATGATCTGGCCAGCGTGGCACCAAAGACCGATGTGCTGCTGAATCAGAGAGAGCTGCCGAAACATAACACAACTGAACACATCTGGATTGGTTTGTGCTTCTTGTCCAGAGACTGGTTGTGGGTAGACAGACAGGTGATGGACTACGCGGCCTGGGGTGAAGGGGGAAAACCCTGGTGTCCGCACGCCAAGATGAAGTGTGCAGGAGGAAGATCTTAAGATTAATCTTAAGATTAAGGAACTGACCTTTAATCTCCTTAACCTCCATTGTTCCTTCAGTGGGCTGGTTTCAGTCATTATGCAAATGTACTGTTTATAAGATTGGGGAAATCTGCAGTCAGCTGAGACTGAAGAAGTCACTTGGATGAGTGACGAAACGTTTCTCACACAAAACGCTACGTCCAGATAAACAGAATCAACTTTTGGAGATTTACTTACCTGGATGATTGAGCATGCATCAAGGATATCTACATTAGTGTCTGACACCACTCGTCTAATTGTCGTCTTTATATAATGTCTTATTTGCAAGTATCGATAGAAATCCTGCTTTTTCAGATTGTATTTTTCTTTAAATGTATCAAAACAAATTCCCATCTTTAATCAGACTATCAAATGTAGGTAATCCTTTAGCAGACCAACTTTTAAAACATGAGTCCAATTCATTTGGGGTAAAGTCAGAGTCATAAGCATACCATTTAAATAATGCCAGGTCTTGTTCTAGTTTAAATTCCCTCACTACATTTTTCCATACATTAACTGTACACTTCACCCAAGGGTTATAAACCTTGTCTATATATTTTTGAATGTTTGAGTCCATGAGGATAGCTTGTATTGGGGAAGAAAACACATTCTCCTCGATATTTTTCCATTGTGCTTTATAGCTTATGTCACACAGTCTTCAGCTGAGCGGACTGAAAGTAACTTTTTAGTGACGGCAGCCCCCATCCTCCTTTCTCTTTTTGTAATTGTAAGGTTTTAAAACAGATCCCTGTCTTCCATCCCCATATATGCATCGTGATATGATTCTGTCCCATTCATTGGCTTTGATGAATTTGTATCGGTAGTGTTTGGAATAAATATAGTAATCTCGACAGAATATTCATTTTGATGGATTTAATTCGTGAATATAAAGTTAGAAAGGGAATCAAATTCCATCGTTTTCATCATATTATTCTGTAGCAAACTGAAATTCTCCTCAAATAACTTGGTTAAGTCTTTAGGTATAATAACTCACAAATATTTTAGTGATTTTGCTTCCCATCTCATTGGGTATTGAGCAACCAAGTGAGCTGTGGGGCTATAATTATTGCTAAGTGTTGAGTTTTAATCATATTAGTTTTTTACCCTGATAATTTTCCAGATTTCTGGCACAGTTCAGGTAGGGAGTTTGTGGGCTGTCCTAGGTATATTAATATGTCATCTGTGCAGCAAGCAATCTTATGTTCCTATTTTTTAATGTTTATTCCCTTGATGTCTTTATTTTGTCTGATTGATTGTGCCAAAGGTTCTAAATATAACGCAAATAAAAGTGGAGACCAAGCGCAGCCTTGTTTATTTCCTCTTTGCAGAGCAAAGCTATATGAGAGACAACCATTAACTTTAATTCTTGCAGTGGGATTAGTAAATAAGGCCTTCACCGTTTCAATAACTCTATTATGTAAGCCAAATTTTAAGCAAACTTTTAAGCAAAGCTGTTTTGGGGTATATGTTTAAATCAACTGTCAGATACGGTGGTGCATGGTCACTTGTGTCTATTGTACCCGTCTCGCATGATTGAATTTTATCTCTATCTTTTCCAAATGTCATAAAATAATCTATTCTTGTGTAAAGGGAGTTTGGAGCTGAGTAATGAGAATAATCTCTCCTTGTAAGGAAAAGATTTCTCCATACGTCAATTAAACCTACACAAACGACTTGATCCCGGCATTCTTCCATTAGATCCATTTAGAGCCATCTAGATCTGGCTGCAGCCGAATGTTCGGGTCGCCACCACACTCAGTGGGCCTTGGGTTTCTGTTACCATTATATTAACAATATATGGTACACAAACGTTTATTAATGTAACCAGGTTACCATCAACCATTCCCCGAACCAGTACAAACCTCCCTTCTTTGTTCTTAATTTCAGACAAGTTTTCAAAATTTAGAGTATTAGAAATTAAGATCACCACACCTCGCCTGCAGCCAGATTTGTATGACGAGGATGAGGAGAACATGTTTGTAAAGCCAATTCATTATTATTTAAGTTTGTTTCTTGTAAATATACAATTTGTGCTCAATCTTTCTTCATTTTAGTTAGAATTCTGCTTAATAGGATTTGTAAGCCCATTTGCATTAAAAGAAATAACTTTTAACCCTTTGGTACTCATTTTTCATAAAATAAAATATCAGTGTCACAGACCTGGGTCCGTGGGACCCAGGGTTGTTGAATATGTTCTGGAAATGTATATTTTTGGTGCTGCTGTTCCTCTTCTTCCTGGTTTGTGTGTGTTTGTGTGTGTACGTGTGTACGTGTGTGTGTACAGAGCACCGGTCTACAGGCATCATCAGGCCTGGGTGGTGTGTTCAGGTTGGAGGTTGGCCACACCTGTGAGAGAGAATCACACACCTGCTAATGATCAGAATTGTCAGGAGAGCTACAAAGCAGTGTGGCTGAGAGCTCCTCGACGTGGGATTATTGCGTGAGACTTCCTGTCAGTTCTCCAGCGGCTCAGTTTTTGAGTGTGAGCTTGCCGCAGTGAAGTTTATTGTTCTAACAGCTGCCTCTATTATTTCCCGGCAGGAGTACGGAAGTGCGAGGGCAGCAGGCACGGAGTACGCGGGCACTGGGGAGCGACCTCACGGCACACAGACACTTGGAGAGGACACAAAGTGGAATGTCAGGGACGCACGGGGATTTATTGTTGTGTGGACATTCTTTACGTCACTGTAAATTACCGCATTGCATTCATCAAAGAGTCTAGCATTTGGGTCCTCCTTCTCCACATCCCCACAGTCTGCCATGCAGACCATGACAATCAGAGCTCGAATAATGTCAACTCCCTTTGAGAACACGAACAATGAATAATAATAACTACACAAAACCAAACAAAGAGAGGAAAAATGTGATCCCAAGCTTGGGGTCTTTCCTGTCCGACCCTGGCACATATGTTGTGTAAGTCCCACCAGCAGGGGGAAGCCTCTCCTTACTAAAGGATGAGGGCCCTTGAATTCACCTTTAAGGTTATCATCATCTCTCTAATAGTCTTAAGTATTCATCTACAAAGGGAAAGGTATCTATTGTCTCATCCACATTAACAGATTAGTATGTCCTCATTGGTCTCCTGTAGTGGAGGGTGAGCGCCTCCTAAAGGTCTGAAGCTGCTCACGGATGATTCTTTCTCTGTGCCCCCCCCCCCGAATCACGCCACTGCGACATCCCCATTGTCTCCCACGCTAAACGTGACAGCTGCTCTGTTAGGGTTTCCTTCGACTTGACTTTGGCAATCTGAAATCCCCTGGTTCACATGTCCACAGTCGCCTCCTCCTCGGTCGAGTAGAACACAGTCAATCTGTTAATTGGTTACAGATGCCTGTTGCCACCGAGGTGTTACTGCGCCAAGACCAAATCCTCCCCTTGCCCTGTTGAACGTGACCCACCACGTCACGATGCCGAAGAGTGGATTTGGCTGGGGTCAACTTCCTCCCCGTTGTTAGGGTGGGAGCAGTGCCTCTCACTATAGGGACAATAAATGAATCAAATCATTTGTTGCATCCTGCTCTCGCTGAACTTGTCTGGAACCTTTAGCAAGTATGTCTACATTGATATGAAAAATTATTGGTCAGGAACTTAGGAGTATTGTCAGCTGAATCACATAGACCTGGCTCCTGTTAGTGGTGAACTTGATATGCAAAAACTTCAAGAGCTGGACAGTGAAAATGATTACATCTGGAGAGGACTGAAAAGGAATTCCTCAAACAAAAACCCGTGGTTGTGGTCTAGTGGTGAATATATATATATATATATATATATGTGTGTGTGTGTGTGTGTGTGTGTGTGTGTGTATACATCTATATACATATATATACATATATATGTATATACATGATAATGAGAGCAGGTCACAGTCATGTCTGTGTCAAAGTGTGCTCTCCACCTTTAAACATGTACTTTGTATTTTTGTTGACTTATCTTCAAAGTTGTTTTCTTGAAATTTTCATTCCAGGCACGATGACGTAACAATATGAAAAACTGCTTCCACTTGGCAAACAAAAATATGACTTGTTTGTCTTATATTTTGCCTTAAGCAAATTAAAAATTTGTTTAGTGTCTTCTGTGCAACAAAGCCTGGGCTTTATTGTGTGAGGAAAACTGTGAAACTAATCTTATGTTTGTGATTAGTTTTATGTTATCATACAAAAATATGACTTGTTTGTCTGACGTAAGGCCAAGCAACACTTGCATTTTGCCTTAAGCAAATGAAAACTTTGTTCGGTATTTTCAGTCCAGGAAATTCCAGTGAACCTCCGACAACGTGAACCTCTGCAAATAATCTTATGTTTGTGATTGGTTTTGTTTTTTTGCTTTGTTTGTTAGCAGAAAGTATGGATGGCTCTGCATGAACTCTTTACAGGATGAGAGGCCACTCATCTCCCAGACTACACAAGACAATAGACACCCAGGTTAAGTTCATTATGCTCCTCTCCTATATCTCTCCCCCGCCTGCAGAGTGAACTCCTGGAGACCAGAGGACTTCTGCAAGGATGTAACAGCCTCCCCACAAGTTGAAGAGCCCCCCAGTTGGCTCAATGCACCGGAAGCCTCCCACGCCAGGGCTGAGCCCCCATGCACCCACCCGCCCACAACCTCGGCGACACACCAACCAGGACCCAAGCCCCCAAAGCCCAGCCAGAGCCCCAACCCAGAGACAGAGCACCCCCAGAATGCTCGCCCCAGACCCACCCAGGGGCAGCCAATCTACTAGGTCAGTAACCTTTCGTCTGTCAGCTCAGACCCTCCCCCATCCCCGCTGCACGCAGCCATGAGGAAACCATCATCTAAGAGCCACCAGAGCCCGTAACCAGGTCATGACCACAACCCCAGGTTTAGCCTGCCAAGGAAGATGTTTCTAGGGCATCCTCCGACGCCCCAAGCCTGTCCCTACTGTTTCAGTTTTTTTTTGTTTTTTTTTACCTCAAACAACTATCAACCTCAGATAAGAAAAATGAAACTAATCTTGATTTTCATCTTTAATGATCCAGAACCAGATATCCTGTAGTGACCAAGTTCATCCATTATTTAAATAAAAGACCCCTGCAGACTACTTAATTGGGTTCTTAATTTGTTTCTTTCTTCTCATTTTTAGAAGATCAG